TGCTGCAGAATTGGGAAATTAGATACTGCCGTTTCGTGCAAAATTGGCGAAATTCTTTTGATCATTCAGCACTATCTTCATAATCACGTGGACTGGCTGTGAACTTAGAGTTTTGTCGTTTTTACCTCACTTTTGCGCTCTGATGGCAACCGTGATAATGGAAAGTCAGGTACATAAACCAGTCATCTTTATGGGGTCGACTGGAGGTAAAATCAAGGTTGCTGTTGTTGTTGCTGGATGATGACCTCAGTACTCGGCCAAATGGTCCAAGAGCAGAGAACAGATGAGGTTCTGTAACGAAGAAACTCGTATCAGTCGCACTCTAGTACTTGTGCATTGACATCTCTCGACTGCTGATATTTTCATGTGGACATGAGAAAAAGGGCATTGCTTGGAGGCGTTTTTGAAAATTATGGAATCTTGTCGTTTTTATAGGTAGCTGATTGAACGATTCATGGGCAATAAACGGTTTTACAATCAATCATACTTACTGCCCTTGACCACGAGTCGAGTTATTCAACCACCCTTCTGCACAATTTTAGGCCCAGAACTAAAACGCTGGTCTTATTTATCTTCCCTTTTTCATGATAGCCCTACCAAAAACATGCTCGAGTGGCCTTTGGAAAACAGTGATTTGTTCCCCATGCCAGTCATTCTTTTCAAGAAAGCAAGAAATGACCGTTTGGATGAAAACTCTGCGACACACTGCTAGTCGACTGACTCGCATGATGAAAGCTAAGGCGTTGTTCTGCCGATCACTTGCATTAAAGATCATGATGTGGAGTACACTGAGGCACTATAAGCTAACCAATGCCACGATGATCTTACATCCGTTTCGTCTTCTTCCAAAGGAGATAAAATTTTGCTAATTAATATTTATATCAGAGACACAGTGAATCTTTGAAATTGCTGCTACAATAACGTTTAATAATTATATCGTTCACCATGTGGATTTAAGGGATGTTTAGTTGGTAGTTATGATTTTTATGAAATTGGAGACATGGCATTGCTCAATTTGTTTGTTAACTGCGAATGTACTTTATTTATGATAATAAACATGAAGTAAATTCAATATCCGTAAATCATGAGAAACGTAAGATGCCCTGGTATTGTCATGCGGCATGCTCGCCTGCACCGTTTACACACGGCTCCCAGTGACTAATTGCTTATTTGTTGCCGCTATTCAATTTTTATTGTTTATTGTCATAATCAGTTGTACATATGAGATGTCAAGTAGTGCAACGTGATCGACCAAAGTTTAACTTCTCTCATAGGAAAGCGGAAACCAAAGTGGTTTCTTAGACTGAAGATTGTTTTCGGAATCCAAACGTTGAGACTGATTCAGACCCAACGAGTTAATCGATGTCTATTGTGAATAATTAGAGGTTATCCTAGCTTTTGATTTCATTGTTAATGCCATGAAGAACGAGGTAGAATTTTACTTGCCGGACCAACCTTTCGATGTTCATAATAGTTATTAATGTTGGCATTGAATCAATTAAAACATGTGGCGTCATTTCTTTCGGCGCAGCAAACAACGGACCCATCTCTGCACTTGAAAACATTTTGCACGAAGTTTCATATGCATTTAACATCCTCCTTTTATCAGGAGGAGATATGTGAAAATATGTCTAGCTTATTGCAAACAGATGGTTTTCATTCACGTTAACGTCACTATATTAATGTTATGAAATTTTCAAATATGTTAGCGACTAAAACCAGAGTGTCTGTAGCATGGTTATTTGCGACAGCTGTTCTGTATTCATTAACCCTGATTTTCAGAGATCTGCATGTCTGGTTGATGCAGACACCATAACAATTACTACAGTTTGCTTCACCTGCTGAACTACGTCCTTAGAAGTGGTTCATGAACCAATTTTGGTAGATTGAGACAGTTGTTGCCCATCAATCGTTATTGACAGCTGCATGTGAGAAAAACCTCACAAAGTGATTCACTTCTTTGAATTCCTTGGGCTCTGTGAAAGTAGGGGGACTTCGGCGATATTTCATGCAAATGGACTTCTGAACAACTACTCGCCAGAAGCACGAAGACAGGTAGATTGGAGGAGCGACACTTCCGTTCATGACGATCGAACAACGAAATCTAGTGGAGCGCAAAAATGGCATTTGCCAGGGATACCGTAGCTTTGGATGAATAACGAACATCTACAGCTAAGTGGTCACTACGGCGTGTAGTCCTCTGTTTCTTTTCCGCACAGTCGCACTCATTCTCACTCATCTACCTCATTAAACAACGGCCATGTTCCTTGCAGAAATGATCAGCTGTGGACCGTAATAAATCAGCCTGCAATTGTTATGGGACTTAGAAGCTTATGGGACTCTTCGAACACGCCTTGGATAAACGGAATATAAAAATGGAAAATTTTTTTTCAATTCTGGATCCGTTGTTGGCGCTGTAACGAGTTGCGATCAATCATTCTACTTC